CCTCCCAATCCAGCAGTAATACGATACATTTCATGGAAAGATGTTGAATCCCAGCATCTGATTAAACTGCCAATAGCAGGAAAAGAAGATACCAAAAATTGAAATCATGAGAATGCCAGCTCATACCACTAGAAATTACTCCCTCTGTCCACGTATAGTAGGAGTAACCGTTTTTTTTGTGTCCACGTATACAGGGCGCTCGGCTCTTCGCTGCGCGTGCGCTGTTCAGCTCTGTGTTAAGCATTTATCGCTGGCGACCAAACTCCTCGAACTGCTCGTGTTCCGTTAGACTATACGTTACTCTTTCATGGGAGCTGAGTATGGGCATGTATGCATCTCTTCCTTGCATGCATCTCTTCCTTGCATAAGCACTGCCAAAATATTTTCCATGCCGCCAGGAGGAAAAAATAGTTTGGCGGGAGAGAAAATTTTACCAAGAAAAAGTAGCGCGTCAGTTAGCGGGGAGTTGATGGCTGCATGGCACGTGCTGCAGTTAGGCGGGAGAAGATTTGCATGCTCGTGCCTGGAAGCCAGAAGGGAATTTGCATGCACGCTCTCCCACATCGTGTGACGGAGAAGCGTGAAACACGTTATTCGGAGGCGGAAACCGAACAGACTCTCCTAGAAACGCGTAGTAATTAACCTGCTCCTTGGTCTTAGCGTTTTTTGAGTTGCGCCTACTATACATGAACAGAGAGGAGTACGATAAATAATTACAGAAACAAGACAAATGTGAAACAGACTATTTGTATACGTAGTAATGAATATGCAGTAAATAAAAGAAGCCTGCTTAGACCAGTAACGAAATATAAACATACCCATCACTGCTGCCAGAAAATACAAATTTGGCGTTACTACTCCACGTCACGCTCAGAGTCCGCCCTGTAAGGATGCACAAACGTAACTGCTAGAGTTGAATTTATTGCCAAAATAACGGAAAACAGAATTTATACAGGACCTACCGCTCACTCCTGGAAGAGACCTATAGTAAGTCAATGCACCTGATTCAGGCACGTTATACAATCGTACAGAACCATCATCACATGCAAGAGCCAGTCGCTGGAAATCATTCACATGATATGAAGATCTTGTGTTGGTAGAACCATCTTCATCCTCAGAGTTGTCACCATCATCAATGTTACTTAAGTCAGAATCACTGGAGTCATTTTGGTTTGGATGGCCATCGACAGCAAACTCTGAGCTATTATTTTCAGTATTTTTAGCATCATCTGAAGGCTCGATGGCCATTTGCCAGATTGGAACTCCAACAGTATCTAGAGCAGTCTACAAAACAGAACAACAAACTAACTATAATTATATCGGTGAACCTAAAACAAATATTACATTGCAACGAGAAAAGATATAAGGAGACTCATGAAGATCACATGGTGAAACTTAATATGAAATCTGAGTGGCATCCCTAGTGATTCAATACACCCGATAGGTTAAGGCCTATTATTTCAGTACCCAAACATACCTACAAGGCTACAACCTGCCCATACACCAATTCCCTATCCCACTATCCCAGCATCCAACAGTTCAGAGTTGCCAATTCCACGAGAAAATCGAATGTAAGCATGCGAAGAGAGACACCTTTTGCTGCAGGTGCAAGAGATCCCATTCGGACACCGACCCATCAACGCTGGACGAGAGCAGCCGACCGGTCGCTCCACCTCCTCTCCGCCCCCACACCAGTGATGTGACCCTCAACTCGGCGTTCCCCTGTATAGTCTGCACCCAAGCAAACCCCCAATCAGGTTAGAGACAATCCTCAGACTGCTCGCAGGACACGGCAGGGCTATGGGGAGGGAGGTGTGTGTGTGTGTGTGTGTGTGTGTGTGTGTGTGTGTGTGTGTGAAGGCACGAGCTGGTTGTGCCAGCCGACGGAGCCCGGGGAGACGAGCCAGAGCTCGAGTGAGCCGTCTTCACGCGCGGCGGCGACCTGGGAGGCGCAAGGAGAGGCGGCGAGCGCGACGATGGGGGAGGGGGACCACTCGACCGCGCCGCCATTGCAGCGGTGGACGCGGAGCTTGTCCATGGGCCAGCGCCCCGATGCGGCGGCGCTGGCGATCCTGGTATTCTAGAAGGTACGGGAAGGGCGACCTTGAGGTCGAGGACTTCGCGATGGTGCGGGAGTGGGGGGGCAGGCCGCAGGCGGCGCAGGGGGAGAGAGTGGGCGCTCGAGAGAGGCGGCTCACCGCTCGTTAGGGTTTAGAGGGAGAGGAAGGTCAAGTAGGGCTGGTTGGTTTGGTCGACGACAGCGTGCGTGCGGGCTACGTGACCTGAGAAAGCGGAGGGCCTGTTCGAAGCAACGATTTGGCCCAATGGGCTTGAATGGTTTCAAATGCTTCGTCTAAATCTAAAAAGGATAAATCGATAAAAAAAAAGGGATAAATCGATGTAAAAATTTGAAGAGAAACGTGGAGCTTGCTCCCCAGTGCTAATCGATGTATATAAATATTATAATTTGAGACCTTTGTGTACTCCCAAAAGAACATCTCTTGCTTTTCAAAGAAAATTTCCTTAAGTTTGATAGAACATATTCAAAAAATTACTAATATTCATGATGCATAATAAGTATTATTAGATCAGTCGTGGAATATGTATTCATAATAAGCTTATTTGGAGATATAGATATTGCGAGACATGCATTTTTCTACGGTGGGAGTACTTTCCAAGTGAAACCACCAGAGCATCTTCAACTTGTTATTAGATCAACTCCAGTTATAGTCCTAAATCAGCGCCCTACTCTGCTACTTTTGGGGTGTCATGTTTTCTAAACTCAACTCAAGCAATGGCCCCCAAAATCAGTACCCTCACTTTTTCTTACGATATGTGGAACCCATATGTCATTGACATTATGCTTGATGGGGTAGTGTTCGGGGTGCGTCAGATCCAAATGCGGTCGAGATAGGCGTGGCGGCTCTAAATTCGTCTAGGGAGGATAGAGGCGACCGGGGAGGGTGGATCTTAGGTGAAGGCTGCCGGAGGAGGGTGTGGCAGCAGTGGATGCGGCCGTGAAAGGGCAGAGTTGGGGGTAGAGCTTGGACGGAGGATGCCGGTGAGGGCATGGCAATGGTAGAGGTGGTGAGGAAGATGGTTTGGGGTTGGGGAGATTTTAGCTAGTGTGGACGGCGAAGGCAACGCCCTAGGCCGGATTTTCACGATGACGACGATGGGGGCAGCACATTGCATATAGGGGATGAAATGGGCTAAGTAGTAAGCTTTAATTGTTGCAGAAATTTTAGATTAGCCCGATTCACCCTCTCCCCCCCTCTTGGGCATATTGATCCTTTCAATTACAACGATATGGGTGGCGATACCCAAGGAAGAGGAGGTGCCCAAGTCGGAGGATGACCTAGGGCACCCTTGGGGCGTGCTCCACATTGGGTTAATGTTCCATGGGTGGTTATTAGAAGTCCCAAGGCCCGATAAAAGGTGACATGACACGCGACATAAACAACAACAACAACAACATGTTTGTGATGATTTTGGGACCTCTTGCCAACTTGATACAAAGGTGGGACTAGATCCATTAAAAAACCATTTGGTATTTCAATCAAGTACCCATGGCCCTCAATTGAACTCCGGATCAAAGAATTATGACCTTTGCAATACAATAATGTCAAGCTGTCGGCGAACCAAACATTGGGTTTCTTCAAAATGGGCCTTGCATACGATGAATCCACACACCCATATACTGTTAGATGCCATGGAAGATGTCTTTCCAAAGTTTACAACATCCTTCTCTACAGACAAATGTACGATTCACATTAGGTAGCGACATGTTTTTAGTCATTTCACATATATAAAAACAGGCTCACCTTTGTTTAACTTGAAAGGTCATATTCTAGTGTATCGTGCCCTTATCGATCCGCCATAAGAGAGCTTTTGCAAGCTTTTACGAAAATCCCACAAGAACCCTGTAGTTTTTAGTGTTATTCATGTGTCTTATTCATCTTTTAAATAACCCCTAGAATGTTTTGAGTTGATAAAATCCAATCCAAGCCAGCCTTTTTAGAGAACTAACCCCATCCGTATTCATGAACAATGTTCTGCACTTCTGCATGCTTACTGACCCATTTTTGTTCATGATTAATTCAGATATAGTCCTTAGATCTTTTATATAGCACGCCTTTTTTATTTAATAATGTGTATAGTATATAACAAGTTAAATACCTAAGGGTATAAATGGATATTTTGATCTCCGCCTATTACTACTAAAAAACAAAACAAAACCTATTTTGTCATTATTTCCAAGGACTTCAGCTCTTCCGAGTTCCGACGAGGCTCCAAATAAGTCCAAACTCGGTTGCCCCTCTCCTGAGCCGTCCACCGCCGCTAGCGCCACTCGGGTGGCCGCGACCGCGAGCCGTGAGAGCGGTGACAGTGCGTCAGTGCAGCGTGCAAGCGTCCAAATGCCGGCACAAAGAACTGGAATACGCCAATCGCCACCGGGGCCGAGCCGAAGCCCTGGAGCAGCTGGGAGTCGTTCGTTCCGTGGCTGGCTGGTGGCTGCGGTGGGCCCGCAGAGTCCCATGAGAGGCACGGGAGCTTCCAAAAGAAGCCAACAGCAGGCGAGAACGGCAGGCGGAGAGGCGACGTGTGGACGTCAGGCCTCGCGCCGGATAGCGTGCCGACTGGCGAGCCAGCGAGAGAAGCCCCCCCTCCGCCCACAGACTTCACGACCACCCCGCAGTCACTGACAACCCCGCCGCACTCCTTGTAGGGCCTACAGATCAGTGAGGCAAAGCCGTTGGTTTTTGTGTAGCTGAGAGCTTTATATGCGTCGCTGCCTCGCCTTCCTTCTTCCGCTCCACCTCACTCCACCGCCCTCCATGCCGCTGCCGAGCGCTGCTGGAAAGTTTTAAAACTCACGGGGAGCTTGGAGACGCCACGACGACCGCCGCTTCTCTCGGCCATTGTCGAGGGAGAGAGCGCGCGAGCGACCTAGGTCCAGTCGGTTTCGGTCTTGCGACGTCAGCTAGCTATCCGCGACGATGGGCCTGCGCGTGGCCGCCACCGCGCCAGCTGCGGCCGGCGTGCGCGTGCTCGGCGGCGGCGCTGCGAGCGTGACGCAGCGACCGTGGGTGGCGCTCGGAGGCAGGAGACGCCTCTCCGTGCGGATGTCCGTCGCGACCACCGAGACCACCACCTCCGCCACCGCCGCCGTGGGCGCCGTCAGTTTGCTTTCTCGGCTTCAATTTTTTTAGTGGCTCTTTTTCTGCTTTCTGCTTCTCGGCCGTCGCTCTAGCTAGCCATGAGCCCATGACAATTCACGAGGTCTTCGTTTTGGGTGCGTGATGCAGTCGGAGGACCAGGCGCTGGAGGCTAGGAACTCCAAGACGGTGGTGGCGATCATCCTCGGCGGTGGCGCCGGGACCAGGCTCTTCCCGCTGACCAAGCGCAGGGCCAAGCCCGCGGTGAGTGAGTCGGTTGTGTCTGAGGATTTAAATTCGTGGAATGGGAGACACATGCAGCCCACCCGTAACCCGTTCCTCTGCATTTCAGGTGCCAATTGGAGGCGCGTACAGGCTGATCGACGTGCCGATGAGCAACTGCATAAACAGTGGGATCAACAAGGTGTACATCCTCACGCAGTTCAACTCGCAATCCCTCAACCGCCACCTCTCCAGGGCCTACGATTGCACCAATGGCGTGGCCTTCGGAGACGGATTCGTCGAGGTGTGATTCCAGACCATGTATATAGTACTCTGGGGAATGACTGACAAAGCCACAAAGGATTTGTGGTTCAACTCTCGTGATCTGAAAAGGTATATTTGACAGATCGGGGCTCAACTGTTTTTCAGGTTCTAGCAGCAACCCAGACGCCTGGATCGGAGGGAAAGAGGTGGTTTCAGGGTACTGCTGATGCAGTTCGGCAGTTCGACTGGCTTTTCGATGTAAGAGTTCGGTTCGATGCTTTCTTTTTCATGGACGGGACAAACATGCCCATATGGTGTCAGTGTAGTATCAAGTACCCGAAGCAGTTATAAAAAAACCCGAAGCGAAAGAAAATATTCTATTACTTGCATGACAAAAACCATCTTTGCTTTTTTTTTAATCATCACAGTTCAAATCTGAGGGTCATCCCATCAATTAAAGTTGAGTTCAAAGGGACTGCTCAGTTCCCTATTGTTTTTTATAATATTATACCACAAAATTGTTCCTTACAGAAATGGTAATACACTAACGTTTTATAGGATGCAAAATCTAAAGACATTGAAGATGTGTTGATTCTTTCTGGTGACCATCTCTACCGTATGGACTACATGGACTTTGTTCAGGTAATTACCTAAGGAAAAAAATTGTTCCCAGTAGGCTGTTTAAGTAGTACATTTTAAAATTGTTTTTTTTTTGTGATTTCACTTGCAGAGTCATCGGCAAAGAGGTGCAGGCATCAGTATCTGTTGTTTGCCAATTGATGGCAGGTGACTCTCTTTCCATTTCAGTAGCCAGTAGTCACTGTACAGGACTACTCAAGTGGCTTTCCATAGAAGATGTTTAGATTAATTATACTTTCTTTGATATGGTACAGGCAAAATCTTGATTTTGAGCATCCGCTAAACTCTCTTTCATGTATTTCCATACCCCTTTTGGTCCTTGTCTCTTTGTGGATGTGATCATGAATGAGTTTCTTTTCTATGTCAGCCGGGCATCTGATTTTGGCCTAATGAAGATAGACGACACTAGAAGAGTTATTTCATTCAGTGAGAAATCAAAAGGAGACGAATTAAAGGCAATGGTAAGTTGGACTTTGTTTTCCTGCATTCCAACCAACTGACCTGTAGTTCTTTGGGTGCACGACCCCTGTTTGGTTTCCCCTCCCTAACTTTAGTCATCTAGACTAGGGACTAAACTTTAGTCATTGGGGGTTTGACTTGGGTATCTAAAAGAAACTAAAAGAGGCATTTTAGTCCATTTTAGTCATGGTGTTTGGCTCTAAAGTGACTAAAAGGTGAACTTTTCAGAACAAGTCGATGCAACCAAGCCAAGTAGCGATGCTTTGCAAGGAAGATTTACAGCAGTATCAGTTGAGTTGGCAGCAAGGCCCAATGCGGGAGTGCAGCAGCCGTAGTTTTAGTTTTATTTTTAGTGATCAACAGGTCTTGTTTTGGCCAGTTTCGGTCTAAGATTTTTTATCCTTCCTGGTGCTGCAGTGTAGGAAGCTCGGCTTTAGTTTCCAGCACCAGGGGGCCTGCTAGTCGAGGGGGCGGCCAGAGTGCCGTGGTGGCGAGTTTTTTCTCTCCTTTTTCGTTGTCCCGTTTGTAAATTTGTTTATTTTTCTTCGTCTAATAAAAATCCAGCAAAACTTTTGCTGCCTTTCTAAAAAAGGTTTAGTCCCTTTTAGCAACAATTTGGTGACTAGTTGGCTAAAGTCCATTTAGTCCCATTTAGTCATAGTGTTTGGGTGAAAAGTGACTAAATGGGACTAGATTTAGCTGATTAAACTTTACGAGAGGCTAACCAAACAGGCCCTAAGCCAATTGCCACTAGCATTCTAGCACATATACCACTGGATAGGCATGCCTAGTATATTACACTAAAGGAAACAGAAGCTCTTGAGCCATTTTTATTATTTTTTATTGTCTGCAGCAAGTTGACACCACAGTGCTAGGCTTATCAAAGGAGGAAGCAGAAAACAAACCTTACATAGCTTCAATGGGGGTCTATATTTTTAAGAAAGACATACTCCTAAACCTTTTAAGGTATGTGAATTCAACTCATTGGAGCTCACAAAGTTTCATTAAATTATCTATGGGATTATCCAGACAAAGGGGACCCTTCCAAAAAATCCAGACAAAGGGGATTTAGGATCCTCCATTTATGTTCTAATATTCTATTCAGTTAACTGCTTAATTGCTCGTCGATCTTAACCTGGACTGTATCATCGTTTGGTCAGATGGCGTTTTCCCACTGCAAATGATTTTGGTTCTGAAATAATTCCTGCTGCAGCAAAAGAAATCAATGTAAAGGTACGTGCACATATGAATTTAGCATATTGGGCTCCAAGTAGTAATTACACTATTTGAGCATGGTTGCATAGTTCAAGAAAACAGAATCACATCACTTTGCTATTCGCATTCCTGCTAACAAACAGTGGGAAATTTAATATACCATGCATGACCATTTAACAAAAAAATGTCATGCATGCTAGTATGTCGGAACCTTTTCAGCAACACCTTCATTTCCCTTGTTAAGTTACAGTTGTGCTGCAAATCTTGCACAATTTAAAGACAGGCATATCACCATCTTAGTTATGTATTAATCCTGTTTCATAATCTCGTCCCAAAATCTTGACTTGATATCATGGTGGGCATTTCAGGCTTATCTTTTCAATGATTACTGGGAAGATATTGGAACTATTAAGTCCTTCTTTGAGGCAAACCTTGCTCTTGCTGAACAGGTATGCCTTTTATGATTACTGGCTTACTGCAAACTCTTCGAGTAACTCTTTGTACTGCTTTGCTTTAAGTTTTTTATATTTCTCTAGAAAAGGAGTACTGAAGCAAACCCTTCTACACACCTGTTCATTCATGTTCTCAGCTCTGGCATTATTCTTTTGAACGTTTGTGGTGTTGCGGTTGTTGTAAAAAATTGAACTCTTCTGCTCACCTTTGATTAAACCATGCAGCCTCCAAGGTTCAGTTTCTACGACGATGACAAACCAATGTACACATCACGGAGAAACCTACCACCATCTATGGTCAACAATAGTAAGGTGTTATGCCCTCTATCTGTACTTAAATTAGTACCATGCTCCCATGCCTTTGCTTCCTTATTTTGATTTTTGGGGCATTCATTTACTATTCCTTGAAATCCTATCTGCTTGATGTGCCCCCCTTCTAACACGTTGGTGTCACTGCAGATCACTGATTCAATCATTTCCCACGGATGTTTCTTGGATAACTGCAGGATAGAACATAGTGTTGTTGGAGTTCGTTCTCGGATAGGCTCCAATGTGCACCTCAAGGTTACATCTCTTCCTTTGTTGGCTGAAGTATTTCATTATACAAATATAGAGAAACAAGTAGTAAGTGTTATAGATTTGATCCAATGTCCTGTAGTTAGCAGCTAATGTATCTTTTCATCTTTTTCCCTGAAGGATACTGTAATGCTTGGTGCTGATTATTATGAAACTGATGCGGAAAGAGGAGAACTGCTTGCAGAAGGAAATGTTCCTATTGGGATCGGAGAGAATACAACGATTCAGTATGAATGCATATTTTATTTCTACCACTAACTCATTTGACTATTCAATCCTAATATCTTCATTTTTGCGCTCTGAAAAAATTTACTTCTACCAGTAACTCCTTTGACATCATCTTTTACTATTCAATCCTAACATCTTCCTTTTTGCTCTCCGCAGAAAGTGTATCATAGACAAGAATGCGAGGATAGGAAAGAATGTGATAATCTCCAATTCTGAAGTAAGCTTCATCTCTACCTCTTTATGACTAGCAGACTAAAAGTATCTAAAATCAGTAAAATAACCAGCAGTTTGCAACTTGCAACAAAATAAGATGGCCACAATGTATGTGTTATCGCAAGTTGTACGATCTTCTTTCCCTCTGCCAGTATTGTTCTTTTATTTTTCTAATGCATACATCTTCATAGAATGTATCATCAACTCTAAACCAAATCTGGCTGGCTGTTCTGTTTTACAGGGTGTAGAGGAAGCTGATAGAACCTCCGAAGGCTTCTACATCCGAACCGGCGTCACTGTCGTACTGAAGAACTCGATAATTGCTGATGGATTGGTCATATGAACTGAAAAGGTCTCACAAGGCTGGTATTTGCGGCAGAAACAATCATAGGAGTTCTTTGTAGTTTTACAATAAGATGCTGTATAGCAGTCACGAGGTTCTGCTTGTCTATACAAGAGAACTTTTGTCTACAAATCTTGTCTCACCATGCTGTATTTGACTCAGACAACGTTGCAGATCTTTTTACGAAAACACGTCTGTTGACGTGTTTTTTCATTAAGAGGAAACAAAGATACAAGGTTCAGGCACAAATCACCAGCTGTAGTGCAGTGACGCGAGGAGCGTTTGCACTAGGCCTGCGACCGCTGAACTGCCCTCGCCGGAGAACCAGCTCCCTAGCTACTGGATTCACACAGTCATCCAAGAAAGGAAAATTGCTGATGGATTGGTCATATGAACTGAAAAAGTCTCACAACGTTGCAGATCATGAACATTGTCCGTTTCATTTTTTTCTTTCTTGGACATTTACACAAACCTTTTCAATTTTTCTTTCTTAATTAACACCAAAAGCTTTTATTCTAATCAGTATGCAACCAAGTTTCAAGTTTCTTGAGACAAATTCAATGTGCTTGATCATGTATTCACATTATAGGTTGCATGTTTGAAACTGCATTACCGATGGTTTTGAAAGTAGAGGAGCCTGCCTCGTCCTGATACTTCGCTTCAAACATGCGGCATGCCATATAAAACTTAAGTCAATATAAAAGCGATGTAATACTTCTTGTGATCAATGCAAATAATAAGTAATAAATGGCACATTATTCATACTAAAGCTCAACAAGAACATGATGTTGAACGATTTACCAATTGCCTGTTTAAATTTTAGATATGGTATCAGCTTGCCGAACCATAATTCCACTACAACATACCAAAATATCACGGGATCTTTCTATAAAATAAATTGCATTGAAGTTATGCAAATTACCATTGAAGTGGTTTATACAACAATAAACAAACATTTCCCAAGAATGCCATAGTATTCAGGAAAACATTTTGAGTTGCTGCCCAGTCACCTGGTCAGGTTGAAACAGGGTAAGGAGTAAGAACTACTTTACTGTCAGGAATACAATACGAATCGGGTAGGGAGATAAATGTGGCAACACACTGCATGCATGTTTTTTTTTTAGCAATGGTGCTGCCTTTTTTAGTTCCTCTGCCTTATATTGCCATCCTAAACTCGGGAATTTCTGACAGAAACCTATGTCTCAAGTTATATACATGTTTGAGCATTTGTCATGAAACTGTCTTGATATCTTCTTCGGTGGGTGGGCGTATGTCCAGTTTCTGCTCATGTTTTGGAATCCTGACCAATAAATTAAGGTTTAGTGATTGTGTATTTCATTATATACGAGAAAGTTTTGGAGAGACCTCTTGAGTAAAAAGTTTTGGAGAGACCTCTTGAGTAAAAAAATAAAAGCTCTCTAGGCAGCTGTATGAACTGATAAAGCAGATGAAGAAAATTCCAGCTAAATTGTGTCATGAGAGCTTGTCCCTCCCAGTCTGAACTTATCTCAAGAGAACTTGAAGTTCAGATTTGCTGATTTGCACAGCCGACCAAAATACATCACACAGCTTCGAGACAATGATTTCACATACAGTAAAGAGCATGCTTACATCGAGTCAGTTTTGACTGTGGCTTGATTATATTCCACAGGAAGAACAATTGAGTTTTTGTCATCAGTATCTCCCTGCACAAGTAAATCAGAAGTGCAGTGTTCAGATAAACTTTGTTAAAAGAAAAGGTGTTCAAATAAACAAGTTTGTATTACAAACGTAGCGCACCATTTTACTTGGATTGGCAAGATGCTGCTGAGTCATTTTTGGTGCATTCAGAGGACTTCTTAGAGTACTCTGAAAAATCCAAAGGTTAACTAGGAATGTTGCTAATAGGGCCCACAAGCACATGCTAATCAGGTAATTTGTTGACCAATCATAATATGTTATTGGGAAGTTTGTCAAATTAAGGAGAATGATGTTTTTCTTTGACATGAGGAAAAAGATACCAAACAGAAACAGGACAAGAGGTGCTATGATTGGCATAGAGAAAGATGTACCTTATTTGCCCACATTAAGCCGCAAGCGTTGCAGAGGGACCTTGGACCAGCTGGGCCCCGACGCATTGCTGGAGTAAGCCTTGAGCTGATGCCACAATTTTGGCAACTAGCAAAACAGGCCAACATTAGTCAATACATGAAGGCAACAAACTTCTGCATATGAAACTGATGTAACACATACACATAATCACAAAGTGAAAGTTGGCACATGACAACTAACTCACTGGGTTTCTCGAAAATGATCATCCTCGCCGTTAGCTGGAGAGACACAAGCAGCAGAAGAAGAGGCACCATCACCAAAATCTGATCTCCCAGCAAATTGACCTTTATGCCGTTTCATCCTAAAATATTATTGAGATTGTGCAATTCAAGATTCAGAAATAATTTACAACAAAAACATCACCGAGTATCGATCACTTGAATGCAAAATATGGTTATGCAATGGTTACGGTAAATAAACCTGGGATATGTTCCCAGTGGTGAATGGTGGCGAACAGCAATAGGTAGGCCAGGGTTTGTTCCCTGGCAGCTGCAACAGAATGTTAACAGGATGATGAAAAAAAACAGAAGCACCTTTTCTAGCAAGATTAGAACAAAAAAACAGTAACGGGATTGAACCAGGTAGGAATGAAAAGAAACACATTGGTTCCGGAGAAGGAGTGAAAATGGAAAATCAGTGCCTGGCAAGGTAATGGCAAATCATAGAACCCATCAGTTCCATTCTCCATGGTATCCATATAAGCCTTCACATGATACTTCTTCCAAAATCCTAGACTAAAAGGCATAAAAAGAAAGTCCTTGTTCATTTTGATATCTAATTGAAATAAGTCTTTTAAACATTCACATTGCTTATGATGACCATGAATTTCTAGCGATTTCTCAGAGCACATTATCTTGAATAACATGCCTGTACCTTTAGTGCAGAAGTACTCCAATAGGTAGATCCATGCTATCGCTGCTATTTAGTTTTTCTCCGATGTTAGTACTTGGAGAAACTATTCAAGACAAAAAGGCAACCTAAGATTGGATAGGATAGCAGTGATAATAGTCTGAATATGGCATGCGTATTCCTATTTAAACAGAGTGACATAAGAAAAGAAATTAAGTAAATCCTGGTGTTATATACCAAAGAATATTCTCACATTAGGAATGTAGAAGGCGGGCCACATCCTATTTATGTGGTATAGCAATGTCAAGTCAAACATATTCAAGTCTGCAATAAGCTAATAAAGTCTGCAATAAGCTGATAATTTTATCTAACGTGGAGACTAACAAACACAGACATCTTACAATTTATATCTCAAATCCTCCAAATGACAGAAGATAATTTGTTAACCAAGAATACTTTCAAAATTTCATTACGCGGTCTTTAAAATTTTAAATATGCATGGACCCTGGTAGGTTATGATGGTCATTTCACGTGCAGCATAATTATATCATTGCTAAACATAGAAGGGCATTATTCTGTCCTTACTTTTGGGCAACCTCCTTGCGCACACTGTATCTAATCCTTTTATCGAAACATCTTTCCTTTCTCTTCTCACGGAATCTCATTAAGGAAGCAACCCTTCTAGCAGCCACAGTTGTATTCTGCACATGAGACAATGCTTTAGGAGAAACTGGAAATACCTATCCTTACTGCAGGAAGTGTGTGGATACCTTCTCATTATTTGCCGTAGGAACAGCCATGTTTACCAAACCAGGTGGAACCTCGTACCCTCCAAGTACTAAAAGAACAGCCTGAACCTGTTCAAGAGAAATATTTAGGATATACAGCTCGCCTAGGTTGAGTTTCTGCATATGCAACTCCCATATCTCACTGACACGCTGGCTCACATGTGGCCCTGGGATACACGTGTCAGTGAAACAATCTCATCCCATATACACTCAAACAAATCAATAATGACATAGGCATATGGTCACCCTCAAAACCTTCAATATGGTTGCATCATGCTTACTTTGTTCTTGGTTTATCTTAGGACATGCATCCCAGTGAAGCTTTTCACTACACCATCACTAGGGTTCATGATTGCATTTACAAGCATTCTCACTAATACAGTTGTTAAGGAATTGAGATAGACCCAAAAAAAATTCAAAAACACATTCCAATTGAAGACTGGCAAAACCACCTTGTAACTGTGAAGACCAAATAATCATGTAGTTTCATGATTAAATCTCTCGTAAAATTCTGAAAGTTATGACCATGACTTTGACCAATCCAGGTAAATCATCTCAATTTCTCACTTATAGAAGCTTCCTCATTTAGTTGCCTCCAGCTTTCAAAAGAATCTTCCCTAATAACTAGAACAAAAAGAATCCTCAGCTTGCCAATGAGAAAAGTACATCATATGAATGAATCCAGTTTAGTCCAGGACCACGATGAAACATGCTTGCAAATTTTCATATTTGGGATCACAACACTAATAAGACTTAAGGAACAAAGAATATATGCTTCTGATTGTCGGTGTTTCGAGTCACCACCAACAAGTAAATTTCTAATATTACGCGTCTGGCTCGGATGGTGTGTTTAGAGGACACGAGGTTTATACTGTTTCGGGCAGAATGTCCCAACGTCCAGTTCGTTGCTGCTGCTCGTGTTACTGTTAGTTGATCTCCACCAATAGGCCCAACGGCCTATTGGGCCCTTATCTCTGCTCCCTGATCGGGGGAGCCCAACCCTAATCCGGTTGGTGGACCCTTGTCGCACAACACACATAAAAGGAAGGTGGGGGTGAGGGCTCGGATAACGAGGTTCAACGGAGCCGCCATCCACCTACAGAGAAACCCTAATCCGATCCTAAAGAGTGCTGCCAGCGACGGGATGTGACCAACCTCCGCCGTCGCCCCTGCAGCGTCACGACCACCACCACTGTACCTCACCACCGGTGTCCGTGAGGTCACGACGCTACTGTCCCAGGGCGACTAGAGGAACTCTAGTGGAAGAGGTCG